GAAGGGCAAAATGAAATAGACAGATTTAATGAGCAAGCCAGTGAGGAGAGTTTGAAGATAGAACAGAAATACAACAAACTCCGCTAACCATTCTTTCAGAAGAAGTCAGAATTGATCACCAAAATCCCAAATTTTGGGTAACAACATTTGTCAACCATCCACAAGTGTTTGCATTGCTTGGGAAGGAAGATGAAGAGGAACTGCATTATTCTACCAGAGTTGAAGTGACAGAATTTCATCCAAATGAGAATGGTGATACATTACCAAAACCAACTGAAATTAAATGGAAATCTGCAAAGGACTTGACAAAATGCTCAAGTCAAGCACAGAATAAAGTCAGCAAGAGGAGGCAGCATGAAGAACCAGAGAGCTTTTTCACCTGATCATTCTGATGCAGGTACAAATGAGTTAGGAGTGGTTATCAAAGATTATATTTGGCTAAATTCATTACAGTACTATTTAGTTCCTGATATGGATGATGAAGAAATGGAAGAAAATTATGATGATGATGATAATGAAGAAAAAGAAGGAAGAGGAAGTTAGAAAGATATTGATGAAGAAGGGAATGAAGATGAAGTAGAAGAAGATGAAGATGGTGATGAGGGAGAGGAATGACAGGAGCATGAAGAAGAAGATGACTAATAAGAACATGACCAATAAAACTGTTAAGAAGATGAATAATAAGACTAATAAGAACTAATAAGGATTCTAACCTTTTAAATTGTTTCTTCAATCCCTGGAAGCAAGTTTCAGGCTTTTATGTTCTTCTTTTCCTTTCCTGTCATGTGCTCAGTCATCCTGTTCTTGAGGTCCCTTTTCGCTCCAGTACACCATGGCTCTCAATGTATTTTAAAGGAGAAATATCTTGAGCAGATAAAGTGGGAAAAGAATCGCTACTCCTTTCTGTTCCCAAATTAATTTTTATCCATTCCTGTCTTAACAAAATCTATGGAATCAATGCACCACCACGCTCCGTGAGTACAAAACAAAACTTTCTGTTCTCTTTGCTCTGCTGGAAGCTGGAGGATGTGAGGTCCCTGTGCAGTAGTGCATAGAATCCTATCTTTTTTTTTTTTTCCTTTCTCTGTATATTGGGCTCATAGATTACACTGTGTTTCTCTGTGAATGTGGACATTTAGCATTTACCAACATGTATCTGTTTACTTTCTCTTTTTGAAAAAAAGAATTTTTTTTTTTAATGGAGCTATAGAAAGTAAGCAAAGGTTGGATTTGAGATGGTTGGGTGGGTTAATTGGGCATGTTGAAGACATGGCTTCTCCTTTGGCATGCTTAATTGTAATGTTTAACAGACATCCTTGCAGCTTAAGATGATACATTCAAAGTAAAATTCTCTCCTAAAGATGACTTGAGCCCTGCCCCTCAATGTCCTATTTGGAATTGACATTCTCCATTGTAATTTTTTCACTGTTTATTTTAAAAATTCTTTTTGTTTCACTAGAAAGGAAAGATGATGCTCAGATGAAAAGTTTACAAGTTGCTTTGTTACAATAAAACTAAATGTGCACACACACAAATAAAACAGTAAACCATCAGGTAGAAAATTGATGCTTACAATTTTCTGGGATTCTCAAGGGCTAGTATTGGAACATCATCAGGAAAAGACTTCGACAATCAATAGTGCTTCTAACAGTGAGATGCTCACTGAAGAGCTGAAGACTAAACATTGAATTAAACTCAGAGAACTGCTCTCCAAGTTTGTTATCTTGCATGAAAATGCACATCACCACAACTCTGCCCACACTGTTGACACTCTGCAAAAACATCATTTTGAGGTGTTAAAGCATCCTCTCTATAGTCCTGATCTTCCTTTCTTGGACTTTCACCTGTTTGGTCCCCTAAAAGTAGCCCTTAGAGGACAAAGATACATTACTGATGAATAAATGAAGACAGAAGTGCATTCATGGCCCATATCTCAGCCTAAAACATTTTTAATAAGGGCACAGAACAATAACAATATATATATACACACACACACACACAAATACATATACGTGGTGCTGTAAGATAAGTACTGGACTGCAAGGTTAGTTTGAGCCACAAGATTGGAGTATAAGCTTACCAGTTGCTCCTCAGAAACCCTATACAGGTTTTGCTATGAGGCGGAAATGACTTAATAGCACTTTACAAATATACTTAACAGGGTTAATGTGCCAGACTGCAAAGCCATTTGAACTGCAAGGTTGGTGGTTTAAGCTCACCAGATGCTCCTCGGAAACCCTATAGGGGGTCGCTATGGGTTGGCATCCACTCGACAGCACTTAACAACAACATATATGTATATAGCAGTCCTGGCATGGTGCTGCAGGTTAATGCGCTGGACTGTAAGGTTAGTTTGAACCGCAGGGTCAGAAGTTCAACCTCACTAGTCTATAGTTGTTGTTGTTAAGTACCTTCGGGTCAGTTCTGATTCATAGCGACAATCCTGCATAGGGTTTCTGAGAAGCATATGGTTAAGTTTGAATTGCCAACTTTGTAGATTCCAGTCTACTGCTTATTCTACAGTACCACACCAGGGCTCCATTTATATGTATTGTTGTTGTTGTTAAGTGCCATTGAGTCAGTTCTGACTCATAGCAACCCTGTATAGGGTTTCCAGGGAGCAGCTAGTGAGTTTGAACCTCTGACCTTTTGGTTTAAACTGACCTTGTGGTCCAGTGCTTTATCCCACAGTGCCACATCAGAACTTTATATATGATATAAAATGTCAATGAGTTATTCTGAGTCACAGAAACCCTGTATAGGATTTCCAATGAGTGGCTGGGGGTTTTGAACCACCAACCTTGTAGTTAGCAGTCTAGTGCTTATTCTACAGTGCCACACGAGGAAGTCTTATACATAGTGGGTCGATATGCATTGGGACTAACTCCACAGCACACAACAATAACATACAGTTACTATTAAAACTAGCATTGCTCTTCTACTATTTAATTCAGCCTATTTGGAAACAAAACCCCCAGTGCTCACTTAGTGACTTATTTTCTTGGAAAAATCTAAAAAGTAGCACCTTTTTGTGAATTTCCCAAATTTGGAGGTCAGAATTTCTTGGTCTAATCTATTATGCATTATGATATATAGATTAAAGTTGTTTTGCTTTTTTTCTAAGTCTAGGAAAGTTACTATACATTGAAATTTGTCTAAAATTTATAAAAATCATAATTATTTTCCAATATCAGACAATCCTTCATGTACAGCACAGATTAATTGACTAATAAATGAAATTTGACTATTAAATTGAAAAACTGGAGGACCTGGAGAATAGAAATCATGAGGTTTTTCAACAATGTCAAAGGGATAGGGACCTCTGATCCTAGACTGAATTTTCATTTATATAAATAGAAAATTGCAAAAAATGAGAATTATTTAAATCTCACTCTTTTGATAGAATGATCACTGGTGGCACAATGAATAAAGTATTCATTTGGTAATCTACAGGTCTGTGGTCCAAATGCACCTGCCATTTGGTGAGAGAAAGATGTGGCAGTCTTGGAAACCCTATGGATTCTATGCCTTCTCATGGAGTTTCTATAGGTCAGAATCAACTTGGTGTCAATTGGTTTAAAACTTAAATCTGTTATCTTTTCCTAAATCCATTTACTTAAGTCTATTTTCCTACTCTTTTGGTTTGTAATTTGGTAAACTTTAACCATCAAAACTATGTTACTTTGCTCAACCATTTATTGTGGTTTTACAAAACAGCAGACATCATCAAACGTTATGTGTTTAGCTTACTGGATCACCAAAAGAAGAAGAACATTAAAGTGTATAAATGTGACCTCGTGGCAGTTCAAACATTTTAACATATGTTAAAGCTATGTCCAACATTTTGACTCCATTCTACGTAATTATGTTCTCCACACTCTGGCGGTTATTAGTACTCTTTAATGATGAGTCTGATTATGAATGTTTCACTTTTAGTCATCTTTTACTCTTTTGTGTTCAACACTTGATAAACATAGACTTTTATAGGTTATGCAGTCAGTAGGAAAAAATATTGATAACTATAAGGGAAAAGAAAGAAAGAGACAAGGGGAGAGTCTTGGCTTCAATAGCAGGCAGGTTTATTGAGAGTAAACCTGGGAGGGGGTACTCTAAGTCACCAGAGGAGAACAAGAGCCTGCCTGTTTCTTACAGACTGGGCTATTTAAGGTGGTATGGTCTCTATACAGTTTGGCGAGTTTACAAATGGGAGGGGGGTATGGAGATTTTCCTAAAACCTGGAATTACTGGAGGATGGCATCTAGGTGTAGTAAAGACTTAAGCTTTCCAGAGACCAGAAGCTTCAGCAGGACTTCATTCAGCGCTAACTGGGGGTAGTTGCAATGCCATTTTGTTGATCAGATGCAAGGTCCTTCAATAACACAATCATTCAGTTACAGTTATTCAGAACTAACAAATAGCAGGACCCAAAGAACACTATTAAACTAGAATTTACGTAATTGTGAATATAAAAACAGAAAGTTAAGTAATAGTAACTATTCATGAGATTCCTGTTATTGTAAATAATACATAAATACAAATTCTCTCTACATTTTATTTCACAAGTGAAACTCAAAAACCACTAAAAGATTTCAGAAGATATCAGAGGTATCAGATAGTAAATTATTGTACTGAAAAAGATAAGGTCATTCTTTTATAAGTAAGTGATAAAATATATAATCTCAAGAGCAGGCTAGATTCTTGCTAGAATCACGCAGCAAAATATGAAGCATCATATATGCACCCAGTAAAATACTGAATAACCAGTATATGTTTATTCAGTGTTTTATTGAACAGCCATATATTCATGTAACAATATGTTATAGGAACAGAACATATGTTATAGTCATATAATATGAATGCCGATTAAAAGATAAATAACAAAATAAAATCCCTTTGAAGTATGCAATAGTTTTCTATACAAGGGTACAATAACCTTCCCAAGACAAGTTTTTGCTTTGTTTTGCCAAAGATTTGGTTGTGCATCAAAATGAAAGTCTTACCTGAATCCTCAAAGTCACTGTTATAAGCTTTCCAAGTTTCAGTTATTCGAAGAAGATTTTCCTCCATAGCTTGAATGTCCATGGAGGGGCAGTTACATTCTGGAAATTTGGGACCACACTGACACCAGCAGTCATTGTCCTTACAGATAAACTCTCCTTCTGAATTACAAGCAATGTAGCTTAAAGCTGCTTGTACAAAACGCTCCTGAAGATAGTCTGGAAGGAGTACCTGAAGCCCTTAAAAAACAAAGAAAGCAAGCAAAGAAGTTTTTTGTTTTGTTTGTTCACATTTAAGAAAAAAAAAATTGTTTACCATATTTAGCAAAAATGTTATTTTTTAAAGAATATTTGAATAGAAACATGCATATTTTAAAATTATTGTCAAAATGATCTGAGAAAAAATTGCTAATATTTATAATCCTTTCAACTTATGCTGACTCCATGAACCATCAAAGATCTCATTGCTTTTCTATAAGCAAGTTTTATAAAGGTACAATCTCTTAGGAAAAAATATCCAAAAGAGACAGTAAAAGGTATTAAATACTTAGAGCATATGGTATCTCAGGAAAAATTATAGTTTTAATTTAAAGATAAATTTTAAAACTTTAGGAAAATTTGAAAACAAATCACTAGATACAATTAAATATAAAATCACCAGTAAGTCTGACCAATATCAAATTTCTATTTAGCATAAAATTAGATTTTTTACAATGTATCTTTCTTAAGATAAGTCATTTGTATACCTTCATTATTATTTGTTAGGCCAAATATTATCATCTAGGAAAAATACCATACTTTACAAATGTTTTACCTGTTAAACTAACTGCATTATTTCAGACTATATCTCCCATATGTTGGTTAGGAAAAGTATTCTTAGCACATACATATTTACTTTGAATAATTTTTATATCATGTCAAACAAAACTACTTACTGACTGCTTTAAATTAAAAGAGAATTGCTAGGTAATTTGTAAGACATGAAAAAAAATGAGAAATATTCTTTGCTTTTAAGGTATTTGAAATGTACATAGTAAAAATTAAAGAAATAATTATGTATTAATATTGTACAACAGTATTTAATAACTGAGAGTGGTAATAGTTATTCATTAAGTATAAATAATTGGCTAAACTATCATACAAGGGTGACAAGAAAAAGAAAAAAATATTCATGAAAAAATAGAACTTAAACATTAGTTAAACTTAGGTTGCTTTAAACTCTGAGATATAAAGTTTTTATGCTAAGGATATATCAGCAAAATAAAAAATAAATAAAGTGCTGTATGTATTTTTTAATTGGCAACTAACAGTATCTTTTTAATGTGTGTGGGCTATATGAACATAATGTGTGTGTTGACTAGAAAAATTAATTTGGAGTCATATGATTGGGGGTATTAGTTCAGTAATGTGCATGGAATTAATTCAATGGAATTTAAAAACTGTTGATTACTTTTGAGCATTTATGAAGGCAATTAAAAAAGTATTGCTACAAAATTATAGAAACATTTATAAACTATCAAAATGTAAAGAGATTGTTTCTCTATATATCCTCAATATAGGTCTATACACTTCTGAAAACAGTATTTCTATCCCTCCATTTGTGGGCTAATGAACTGAACTGCAAAGTCGATTTGAACTGCAAGACTGGCAGTTCAGCCTCACTAGTTGCTCCTTGTAAACCCTATACAGGGTCACTATGGGTCAGAGCAGATTTGATGGCACTTAACAACAACAACACTTCAAGGTTATCAGTTCAGACCCACCAGCCATTCCACAGAAACCCTATACAGGACTGCTATGAGACTAAACAGACTCAGTGGCACTTAAGAACAGCAACACAACAATCCTTCCCTTTGAGTCATGACAAAGAAAAGAGACCCAATGATATGCAGAAATTATCAGACAATATTATTAATATCACATTGTGAAGAATAGGAAATCCAGAATATTGTGCTCCTTCAAACAGAACAAGGGGATGCTGAATAGTTTAAAATCAAGAAAAGTATGCATCAGAATTGTATTAATTCACCATACTTATTTAATCTGTATGCTCAGCAAATAATACAAGAAAATGAACTATATGAAAAATAAAGAGGCATCAGGATTGGAGAAAGTTTCATTAATAACCTGCTTTTTAGAAACAAAGAGGATTTGAAACTCAGAGTATAGATACCTTCAGTAGAATTTACCTTGATGTAAAGAAAACAAAAATACTCATAGCTGAACGAATAAATAATATCATGATAAACAGAGAAAAGATCAATTTTTTTCAAAGATTCCATCAAACAATATATTGCATCAGACAAATCTGCTGCAAAATAGCAAGGATATCCTTTTGAGGACTAAGGTGGGCCTGACTCAATCCCTGGTAATTTCAATATCCTTATATATATGAGAGCCTTTGCCAACAAATAAGGAAAACTAGAGAACTATAGTGTTATCAAAGATTATTGAAATTACCATGCAAGAAAGGTAAACACATTTGTCTTTGAAGAAGTACAGCTGGATTGCTTTTTGCAGTTGAGCAAGGTGAGATTTCTTCTCACATACATTAGACATGTCTGGAGAGACTAGTCCCTGAAGAAGAACATCATGCTTAATAAAGTGGAAGTTCACTGAAAAAGAAAATCCTCAATGAGATGTATTGACACTGGCGGTAACAATGGGCTCAAACATAAGAATTATGAGGATCGACTAGGACTGGGCAGTGTTTCATTTTATTTCACTTGGAGGTGCTATGAGTTAGAATTCACTAGGCCATACCAAATAAAAAGACCACTTTTTGGAAGATTTTGCGATACTCAGTTTACATCATATCAAAATGGAGGGACTCCAATTGTGCTTCTTTAAAATGTTCTTTGAGTTTTGGTATAAAAAGAAGTCTGAAGGGACAATATATCATTTTCAAAAGAAATTTTCATGATACAGCCCTTGCTACACTAAAAGAATAAGAAGATGTACTGTCATGATAGCAAAAATGTAACTGATGTAACTTTCCAGGCTTTTTATCACAAAGAATGTAATTTGCAACTTTGTTAAATAAGCCCCCATGATCACCCTGTGACCTTTGAGAAAATCTGTCAAGATAACACTTTGCTGTTGTTAGGTGCTGTCGAGTGAGTTCCAATACATAGTGACATAGTATACACAACAAAACAAAAACTGCTCAGTCCTGTGCCATCCTCACAATCCCTATTACATAAAAGGCCATTGCTGCTGACACTGTGCCAAATCATCTCATTAGGGATCTTCCTCTGTTTCACTGAACCTTCACTTTACAAAGCATGATGTCCTTCTCCAGGGAATGGTTCCTCTTGATAATATGTCTGAAGTATGAGAGATACAATCACTCCTTCCTGGCTTCTTAGGGGTATTCTGACTGTACTTCTTCCAACATGATCTGTTTGTTCTTATGACAGTCCTTGGTACTTTTAGTAGTCTGCACCAACACCATAACTCAAATGCATGAATTCTTCTAAGGTCTTCTGTATTCATTGTCCAGCTTTCACATGCATATGATGCTACTGAAAATACAATGGCTCAGGTCAGGTATACCTTAGTCCTCAAACTCGCATCTTTGCTTTTGAACATTTTAAAGGGGTCTTGAGGAACAGATTTGCCTAAAGGAGTATATTAGTTGATTTCCTAACTGCTGCTTCCTTGACTATAGATATTGGACCCAAGCAAAATGAAGTCTGCAGCAACTTCTATCATTTATCCATTTATTATGATGTTATTTACTGGTCCAGTGCTGAAGATTTCTGTTCTCTTTGCATTGAGGTGCAGTCCATAATGAAGAATGTGGTATTTGACGCTCATCAATAAGTATTTTAATTCATCTTCACTTTCAGCAAACAAGGTTGTATCTTCTGAATATTGCAGGTTGTTAAAAAATCTTCCTTCAATCCTGGTACCAGGTTACTTTTCATATAACCCAACTTCTCAGATTATTCACTCAGCATATAGATTGAATAAGTATAGTGAAAAATACATCCCTGGCACATACCTTTCCTGATTTAAATCAGTGCTCACTTGTTCTGTCTAAACAGCTGCTTCTTGGTTTATATAGTTTCTCCATGAGCACAATTAAGTATTCTGGAATACCCATTCTTCGCAATGCTACCCATAGCTTGTCATGATCCACACAATTTAAAGCCTTTCCATGGTCAATTATGCACAAGTAAACATCTTTCTGGTATTCTCTACATTTTGCCAAGATCCATTGGATTTAAGCAACGACAACCCTCATTCCATGTCCTTGTCTGAATCTGTTTTTAACCTTTGGCAGTGTTTTCTCTCAATGTACTGTTGCAGCTATTTTTTTTTTTTTTTTAATTATCTTTAGCAAAATTTTACTTGCATGTGATATTACGCCATAATATCACCTTCATAAGATTGAATCTTGTTTGAAAGACTGATAGAAAGATCGACTATTTTAGCTAGTTGATTTCTGCAAAATGATTCTGACACCAATCCAGGAGAAGCTTGTTTTGGCCAAGATGTCCATGTAAAACAAAAAATGTTGAACCATGTGAGATCCTAACTCACGTTTCTGTTACTAGTATGTGGATTTTGCCAAGGTTGATGATCTTCCCTTTCTTGGTTCATCTTAGAGGTCTTCCTGATCTTCCTAAAGATTGAGCCTTCTAAAAACTATTATCTTATATGGGAAAGCATTCTTATATAACTTTGTTACAAATCATCAATGATTTGTGTAGATTTCTACCTGATTTTGTTATAAATGTGATGTCTGCCGGGACCTTAATCCCCCCACACACCATAGCACAATCCTATGTCTTTCTCTGAAGGCACCCTAATGAGGTTAAGACAAATGTATTACTGAGAGTCCTTGTATGCAGACATCCACTGATTGCAGGGACTTGTTTAAACACATTTTGCTTGTCATAAACCCATATAAATATGAACTGGAACCCTAATAGCAATTCTTTTAACTTATCCTTGTAGTGTACAATGAACGGTCCTTATTTGGAAGTGAAGGAATAAAGAAAAGAGATTTGTTTCAAAAGAAGATTGTAAAGCTTTATACTAGAGAAATCATGATGGAAAGACATTTAAGGCAATAGGATAGAAGGTCTGGCAATTTACTAGGTAGTATTTTGTTTCATGTGAAGAGTCCTGGTGTGTTGCTCTATGAAAAGCAATGGACTGCTAGCCACAAGGCTGGCAGTTCAAACCCACCAGCTACTCCTTGAAAACCCTATACATGATAGCTATGAGTT